CCCCCCCCCCGCCAAAAAAAATCTCCAATCTTGTAATGACAGTATGTTTGGTGCGTGTATTTGACATAGTGAGGATGCTTCCTTACACTAGTGTTTCTTTCTAATATTTTGGTGACAGAAGTATCATTTTTAATCAGTGCCTTAGTTTTGGATATTCAGTCCCCAAATGTTTTGATTACAATCAATCAATACTCTGTGTATAAATATGTATCTGAACCTTGTCAGATCAAAGTGGCAATTTGCCAAAGCCCACTGTGCCCCCACCCTCCAGGCACTAAGGGACTTCTTTAAGTGCAGGAGGGAAGCCTGTCTTCCTGTAGAAATACAAAACCACAACACAAACCCTATTTATACAACAGTAGGACCATAAATCCTGCAGAAACAAAACAGATGAGAGAGGAAATATGCATGCACACATGTGAGTACATGTGTGAGTGAGTGTAGCTGGTAGAAGTGGCCACAAAAGGTACAGGGTGTGAGGTATCTACATAATACAAGTATTCTGAAAGTGGTGGCAACCAGTACACAAGTCTAGCTGTGGTGAAACTGTGATCTGAATATTCATGAATGGGTCAGATAGTAGGAAGTTGTATTTATAGAAATAGGGTAAGGATACCCATTATGTGAACCTGGAGGTAAGCAGCACAGAAGGCAGAACTGGGGAGAGGGTGGATGGATGTGAGACAAGTGGTCACTGAGGCAGAGGCTGGGCTGGGGCATCCCACGGGTGTGGGAAAGCCTATTATCTAGAAGGTGAAACCATGACAGGGTATGAACAGGTGCAATGTCCTTGTCTGAAAATGTCCAGGACCAGTGGTGACCCAGGGGAAGAGGAGGTACCACTACTCTCACAAGGAGATGGGACTAACGAGCAGGTGGGGCCAAGGGCCAGACTCACACAGATGGCACTAGAGGGGAAGTACAGGAGCCAGATGCAGGGTTTACTGTGGTGTGAACAAACCTTGTGGGCAGAAATGGCTGATGCAGACTTGACTCAGGTGAAGCAGGGCATGGGCCAGTGGGATCCTGGGCTGGTAGGCAATAGTGACCCTGTGACACAGGCCTATGCTGGCCAACCAGACAGGCTGGCTGGAAAGTGAACACTGAATCTATAGGTCTTGGTTTCTTTATTCTCTAAAGGAACTGTTTTAAGATAAATACCTGAAAATTATATCCGAGTAGGCTCCAAAGCTACACAGAGAAACCCTGTCTCAAAAAACAAAACAAAATGAAACAATTACATCTGAGCATAAAGGAAAGCTGCTCTCCAGACCCTGCCTCTACTGCATAGGCATGCCAGGACCGCTGGGATGAGTGTAAGGCCAAGTACACAGGGGTCACAACACATGCTCATCATGAGAGCACAGGGATGAGCATTCCTGGGCCTCCTCCCGGGAAGTTAAAAAGCATGAGAAGCAAGACAGCACTGGGCTGTAGGTTGTGTAAGGACCTGGTGAGTATCAAGAGGAGTGGTATGGGGAGAAATTCACACAGTGGGGCTCAGTTGGTGGATTTTATCACAGACATTGCACCTCTCCATCCCTCAGATCTACACCTGGCTCTGAAGTTAGAGACTTGCTTCTGAGGGCCTTGTCAGCTGGCTACGTAGTGCTTCCTGTCACGAGCCAAACCTCCATGCTCTGAGCTCCATTTTCCTGTATCTGCTCTCCTTTCTCATATATCCTGAGTCTTCTGCACCTTGTGGAGGTCCCTCCAATCCTCTCAGCTCTAGACCTCCTTCCACCCTGAAGAGTAGAAGCTTCATGTCTACCTCTGGGAGGAGTCACCCAGAGCAAAACCCATACCCACAGTGGCCTCACTCTACTCCAGGACTAGTGATCTGGGTGGGTTACACACAGGGCACCAATGATACTAGTCAGAGATAAGTAGCCACTGTTCGTCAGCCACGTATGTCCAGGCACTGATGGGTGTTGAACCACTGTTAAAAAGTGGAATAAACATGGAAAAACAGACTCCAGAATAAAATTGGGTATGGTAGGGTATGTCTGTGATCCAGTACTAATGGGATAGAGGTTAGAGGATCATAAATTCAGGGTCATCATTTGCTACATCATGAGTTCAAGGTCAGCTGGGGCTATACGAAACTGTTTTAACCCCCCCCCCCAACCAACCAACAAACAAGAAAGAAAACAGATTCCAGAGTTAAATCTGGAAACAGTGATGGCAGGGGCTGTCTGACACCTCTGTTTATTTTAAAACTAGTCTGCTGACTAAGATAAACTTCAGGGTGCTCCCAGGGATTTCAGAATGAATTTTCCCCCAACCCCACCTGCACTCAGCCAGGAGAACAATGGGCAAAGCAGGAAGGAAATGCATAGCCCTAAATGGCGGCTGGTTCGCAGCACTTTCCAGGGAAGCCAGCCCTTGAATGCCAGCAGTGTGTTCTCCTGGGTTGTGGGTAAGTGCCAGGTACTGTACTTCAAAGCACTCACAAGGGTCTGTTAAAAAGAGGGACAGAAGGCCGGGCATTGGTGGCACACGCCTTTAATCCCAGCACTCGGGAGGCAGAGGCAGGTGGATCTCTGTGAGTTCGAGGCCAGCCTGGTCTCCAGAGCGAGTGCCAGGATAGGCTCCAAAGCTACACAGAGAAGCCCTGTCTCAAAAAACCACACACACAAAAAAAGAGGGACAGGGTTTTCTGTGTCACAGCATCCATTCTCAGGATGCAAGTCCACTGAGATAAGGGCCAATGTCTGTTCTTAAAGACTCGCAGACCCACGCTGGTCAGCACAGACAAGACCTAGAGTCCAAAGATTTTTTTCTGTTTTATTTTTCAGACAAAGACAAGACAGAGGTAAAGACCAAACAAGTGCACCATTCCCTCTTAGCGAGCCACAGAGATGCCTGTGAGCCAGCACAGGCCCACAGGTCTGCCTGGGAACAGTTACCCCAGCCCATTTCATGTGAGCTACCAGGGATTTCCAGTCCCCCAACTTGGCCTGACACCTCAGCTTCTGCTGATGAAGAGCATTTTAAGGGGACATCCCTGGAGTGTGACATCCTTTGGGTATGCTGAAGGAAAGGAAGAGGACTGTGTAAGGCAAGGGGGAGCATATGATGAAGGGGACCAGAGATGCTGGGCCATAGGAGGGTTCCGGAAACACCAGACAGTGCTCAAACATTACCCTGAAGACATCTAAGACAGACAAGCCAGAAGCCTGGCAAGGAGTTTCTGGTTTGGCACCAGCACCTGCTCTGCTGCTCCCAACACCTGTCAAGGCATTTGCCCGTGCATTGGAGGAAAGTGCTCCCATTTTTGAAGGTCCAGAACACTGGCTGACCTGAAGCACTATTTCACTCCTATGTCCCCACTTCCCATGGGAAAGTATCTTCAGCAAGCTGCTGTGTGTCTATCCTCTAGGTTCCCCAAGGTCCTGCTGTGAAGCCAAACTCTACATGGCCTAGAGACCCAACCTATCCTGGCCTCTGTGCTTTTTTCTTCTCCCTACAGGACTACCCATCCCCACTCTTTGCCCAGCTATGCTCCTGCATTCTAGATGGTACTATTTGGCCATCTTCCAGACTGCAAACCCAGCCAGCCTTCACCAAGCTCCCCAACCCCATGAATACCCACTCAAAAGAAAGAAGAAGCACAGAAATGACAAGCTCCAACAGTCATGGCCCACACACTCAGAATGTCCAGCATGTACGTCATCTTTGAGGTTATGTAGGGCTGCAAATCCTGCGTGCTATCTTGACATCTTGAACTCCACAAGACTCCAAAGGCTGACCTGGGAGTTCTTAGTTCTCCTCAGATCTGTTCTACCATTCTGGTGGGAAAGTGTCCCTACTGGGGTCCTATTCAGCCAGCTAGGCCACAGCTCACCTGAACTTAATGGGCTCCATCTCCCTATAGGCCAGAAACTACTCACTTAAACCAACTTTATTCTCCTTTGGGAACTGGGGCCCTCATCTTCCTGTCACCACAGAGCCTGCCTCCCACAGCCCAAGAGACCCTGCATGGCGCGTGGGTCCACCTCACCTGTCCAGCACCAGGTGGCAGGACTCACTCATTTCAGTTTATAATAGGCATTCCCACCACCCGCAACAGGGGAAACAGAAAGTTCTCTGAACACTTGGCTCCTCATCTGCCAAGGAAGAACAGGAGACCAGCCGGAGCAGAGTCTGCAGGGTGTGAAGTCCATTACCAGTACCCAAGAAGCAAAGGGCACTCACCACACAATAGCCAGCCGAGGAATGGTGAACATGAGGGCAGGTTCGTAGTCATCGATCATGTCCTGGGTCAGATACCCGAAATCCAAGGCTCTGGCAAAGGAAAGGGGGAGTGAGAGGGTGTTGGTAGGTAGATTCCAAGTGTTGGGAGCAGATCATCCAACCTTCTCTAGTGTTAACAGGGGACAGGCAGGTGAGGAGGATGACTTGTATAACATCAGTCACACATGGAAGACAAGGCCATGCTTTGCTTGGACAGCCCCAGAAGAGTAACCAAAGCTCAGTCTTTTCCCTGCCTGCTCCACTCTGTCCCAGAAAAGAATGGATGGGCAGGAGGTGGGTGCTGTGTGTGAAGGTACCTGCCATTCTCTCAGGGTCTGTCATCACCAGTGCTTTGCCATGACAACTCAAGGGCTAAGCACAAACATGGGACAAGAACAGTTCCCAATCTAGCACTCCCAGGAATCTAGGTTAGTTCCTTTCCCCCACCGTAAGCAGGTGGCTTTCCCAACATAACACTCCATAAGCAGGTGCTGCACCATAAGGACTTCGAAGTAAAATGTATTTTCTGTCTCCCTGTTTTCTGGCAATTTAAAACACCTCTGAAAGCATAAACAGCAAATGATCCACCTTTTAAAAATAACAACTTATGGTGTGATTTAGTCAGTTTCAAAACTAGCACCACTGTCAACACTTTGAGGTGAATCTTGGCCCCAGACTCTACTTGGAGAATCTGACTTTGAATTTCTAAACAAGCCTCGATTGGATGCAGCAATGATCGACCCATGGTGACCAGGCCTGAGCCCTTCTGGGGCCCACAGAGGCTCTGAAGTGAGCAGCAGAAAGAGGAGGAAAGTGAGGGATGAAGAGCAGAGAGGTGAGAGAGGGAGGAGGAGAGGGAACTAGGGGATGTATGTGTGTGTGTGGTGAGGGTCTAGACAGCAGCTGCCTACTAAAGGAGAGACTTCTGCTGTCTGTCTGCCACATGACTCCACTAATGGCACCTGCCCTTTCAGCCCAGAGCTAAGGGAACCTAGGGTGCAAGTGAGTGAGGGCTCTGCCTCCTGTGCACCAGTAGGCATGATGGGTAAGAAAAGCAACAGGCTGCTGTCTTCCCTGACAAGATGCCACCCTGAACAGCCTGTCCTCACCTCTCCACTGTCTCACAGAACAGCACGATGACCTCCTGCTGCACGTAGTACTCTCTGGGGGACTTCACAGGCACCATGGCTGAGACATAGCTGCAACACAGATGTTGTCAGACCTTTGTTCCCCAGCTTCCCAGGCCTCCCCAAACAAGAACATTAAATAAAAACCACAGCCCTCGATACTACCACTACCCCATGCCATAAATACAGACCTCCCAGTTTTACAGGGATAATTTAGGTCAGAGCTCCTGCTACTCAGGATTTATGTGGCACTTTTTCAGGCCTCCAGTTCTGCTCTAGCTCACCACCCCATGCACTTAAGAGTCTGTTCCCACCTTGGCCCAGCTGTGAGGAAGTATTGCATTAGTATATATGAATCCATGAATGGGGAGCAGGTGCCTGGGAGCTCCCCTCTCCCCCCACAGAGTGCCAAGTCAGTCACTGTGTACCTCAGCTGACCGGGAGTGGCCCCAGATATACACACAACTCAAAGGATACTTGCTGAGCAGCTGGGAAACGTTTGTCTACCTGATCCCAGGTAATAACATTCTCATGCCTTCTAAACTACCAACTCCATATTTTTTTCTTGCTATGAAACACAAGAAAATATACTCGATCATCTAAACTCTGACTTCTGAGAGAATACCCGCTTCTAGAAGCCAGTCATGGAATCCTACAATGTGTCTTTACTAACAGAGGCCATTTAAGGCATGGGTTTCCTGTCTTCGAGCATCACAAAGTTGATACACAGAGAACAGCAGGCCTCTCCCTTAGGCCTCTCCTGAGCCCTATCCCCAAGGGGTTGTGACTGCCAGAGCCCTGTGGACTCTGTGCCCTCTGCCGTCCCTCTTCCCTTGAGGGCTCCCTCATCCCCACCCACAAACTCCTCGGGACTAGCCACCCAACTCCTTCCTCATCAGTTTCTACATGGAAACATCAAGATGTGCCCCAAAGAGCTGGTACCCCAAATTCATGAGAGAGTAATTCCAAATGTCTAAAGCACATCCATAGAGCCCTCAAGGTCACCTCAGCTCAAACTCAGCAAACAGAACATCAAAATGCCTCAGTGCCTCCCGCATCTTCTCCGTGTAGGTGTTGAGGTCTCGTAGTGCCTGGTCACGGAGAGTGCCCCGCACATCCTCCAGGCTTCGAGTCAGCTCCTTGGCCAGTGGCCGCATAGCCATGCTCTCGAGTTCACGATTCATGATGATGGAGCCAGCTGCCAGGCACTGTGGGCAGGAGAGTATGCTTAAGAGCAGCCTGTATCTGAGGAGTTGAATGTCCTCAGGGAACATGGCCCTATACATCTCAAGGCCCCAGTGCCCAGTGTAGGACTCACTCACTGCAGGGGGAACCCAGTGATGTGAATCTTACAGCCTTCTGGTCCAGGGTGACTGTAGGGAGCCAAGAGCATCTAGAGGCCACACTCAGGGTTGTGTCCTGGAACAAAACAGCAGCAAGAATCCAGCCACCCTGCAGGCCATGACCTTTATGGGAAGTTGCAGAGGCCTCTTGCCCACATACATCTAATGCTAATAGGAACATGATCTCCCCTGATGCCCATAATCATCCACTAAAAAGCACCCCACTTCTGGTTGGTAAGGAGACCTCCATGCACCCCCAAATCTCCATACCTGTGAGAGACCCAGGCTCTTCTCAGAAACATAGGAAGTTTGCCCACTACTCTCAAGGTTGGGACCAAGGTGTACAGACAGCCCCGGCTGGCTTCTTCTGGTATAGGTGCTCAGTCTACTAACTGGCTTTCACCAGTTTAGGGCAAAACCAAGCCACCAGCCAATCCCATCAGCATCAATCAGGACAAGAAGAAATTTCCTGTCAGCTGAGGGAAGGCATCACTGATTTCCCAGGTCTATCCTGAAAGGGAGTATTGAACTGCAGGTACCAAGCCTCAACAGCACTCCCAGTATATACGCACCAGCCAAACTAACGGAGCTGGACCTATCCACTTTCACATTTCCTCCCAGGAGCCTCTGCCCTGGGCCACACTATACAGAGTGAATACTAAAGCTAGGAGGAGACAACCTGCTGTGGCCACCAGACCAATCAGAACCTTAGAGAGGACCCAGCTGGGTGGTTCAGAAGAGAGGCATGGAGTGGGATGGGGTGGATGGAAAAATGAGATAAGATGGCATGAGGCAGGTAAGATCCAGGGTTGCATGGGGAGGGATGTCAGGGACACTGAGGACAGCACAGAAGGACAACAGAGACAGACTGCAGTCATAGCCCTGGATCCCTAGTGTTTTGAGAAGCTGGGGTTTTACTTTTTTGAGGAAAACAGGAAGTCTCCAGACAGGGGAAACAGTGGTCCTTTTATCCCACTGGGAAAGGCACCTTCCTCATGCCTCAATGGTCTTACTGGAAGATAAGCTATAGTAAGATGTGGAGTGAGGCCCTCTGAAAAGTGCCCCCTCCCTTATGTTGCCACTATGCTCACACTGGTATTTGAGGAGCAGTGTCAGGATCCTGGATGCTTGGGAAATCTAAGAAGCTCCTAACAATCAACCATATGAGAAACTCCATCTGCACCAGCAGTGTTGGGGAGCACAGGGTCATGGCTCTCCCTGATGTACCAAGGGGCTGGTGGCCAAGGAAGCTCAGACCACACCTTCTGTAAACAAAAGGCAGGTAGAACCCCTGAAGGACACCAGGCATAGGACCCCTAGAGGACACCAGGCATCTGTATTTGCAGGTGCCTGTGGGGAGGTTCACAGGGACACGGCTGGAAAAGGGTGTTCACTGTTAGGACTGGGAATCCCAGCATCTGTCTACTACCTCAGCCCCGAACCACAACTGGCCAGCCAAGTTGTCATGCCGGATCTCTTCAGGGAACTTGACACAGAAATCCCGAGGGGCACGGTCCTGAGGGATGCACTCCTCCATGATCTGATTAATGATGTTTAACACATTGTCCTGAAATAGAAAGAAAGACTGCTCACCGGAACTACAGACGTGATTGGCAGCACACCCTGTCTCACCACAGGAGGCTCAAACAGGGGGAAACACAACCAACCATTCCCTCCTGGGATAATACTGAAGTATCCCCTAGTGGCTGCTGCTGGAACAGTCCTGTGGCTTTGCTGAGAAGTAGATTTCACATCACTTTTTGTAACAACAGAATCGGAACCGTCTTCATAGAAAGAAGACAACAACTTCCCCCTGCATACCCCCTGCATGCCCTCTGCCTGCCCCCTGCATGCCATGGCTCTCCCAGGAGCCTCTACAACCCATACAAGCTTTCTTGGACACTAGGTCAGTGAACTTCTATGAAAACTTGACTTAGACAACTCAGCAGATAAAATGCTTGTTGTGCAAATATGAGGACCAAGTTGGGTCCCCAGGACCTACTCTGCAAAGAAGGATACAGTAGCACATCTGTGACCTCAGCACTGGGGGAGGTGGAGACAGGAAGACCCTGGGGACTTGCTGGCTCCAGTTTCAGTGAGAGACCTTAACTCAAAAAGTAAGGTGGAGAGCAACTGAGCATTGCTGGCCTCCACACCTGCACACACAGGTGCCATATGTATACACTGGCGCACACACACACACACACACACACACACACACACACACACACGACTTTCACTGTCCATTTCTGCATCATCATTATTCACATTACAAGCCTAGGTTATGCCTATGTGACCATCTACTTCCAGGCAGTGACACTGCTGAGGGTCACTGTGTGAAACCAGCCCTTTCACTATGTGAAAATCTCCCTGGAGTGGGGGTGTCAGTTTTTACAACAGAGCTAACATCCAAGTATGAGTAAAATGGTCCCCCCACCCCAGTGATGATCAGCAGGGGACCCTTGTCCTGTCTGAACCTGTTTCCTCATGGGGTCAGGGCCACAAACCCACATCTTAGGACCAGGAAAGTCTGTTGGGTCAGCTCTTTCAGACCCTGCTCCTTCACCAAGCAGTAACGCTGCTCTGGGACCAGTAGAAAGACAGCAAAGTATCTGCCTTTCAATACAAAGGCAGCTCCAACTCCACCCCAATGGCTGTGCAACCTGGTTTTTCTGATCCTTAGCAAGAAAATGAAGACCACAGTTCCACAGAAGCTTGAAATCTGCATAAGTTCTAGCTTGTAAAACTTGGGACCTTCCATATACAGCTACTTGTTTATTTTGTTTGACACAGTGTCTCATTTTGTAGCCTGGTCTGGCCAGGAACTTGCAGGAATCTTCCTATCTCTGCCTCGAATGTGTAACACCCTACCGTGTGTGTGTGTGTGTGTGTGTGTGTGTGTGTGTGTGATTTTGTAGCCTGTGTGTGTGTGTGTGTGTGTGTGTGATTTTGTAGCCTCTGTGTGTGTGTGTGTGTCATTTTGTAGCCTGTGTGTGTGTGTGTGTGTGTGTGTGTGTGTGTGTGCACCCTCCCGTGTGTGTGTGTGTGTGTGTGTGTGTGTGTCTCATTTTGTAGCCTGGTCTGGCCAGGCAGTGGCAGGAATCTTCCTATCTCTGCCTCGAATGTGTAACACCCTCCCGTGTGTGTGTGTGTGTGTGTGTGTGTGTGTCTCATTTTGTAGCCTGGTCTGGCCAGGCAGTGGCAGGAATCTTCCTATCTCTGCCTCGAATGTGTAACACCCTCCCGTGTGTGTGTGTGTGTGTGTGTGTGTGTGTCTCATTTTGTAGCCTGGTCTGGCCAGGCAGTGGCAGGAATCTTCCTATCTCTGCCTCGAATGTGTAACACCCTCCCGTGTGTGTGTGTGTGTGTGTGTGTGTGTGTCTCATTTTGTAGCCTGGTCTGGCCAGGCAGTGGCAGGAATCTTCCTATCTCTGCCTCGAATGTGTAACACCCTCCCGTGTGTGTGTGTGTGTGTGTGTGTGTGTGTCTCATTTTGTAGCCTGGTCTGGCCAGGCAGTGGCAGGAATCTTCCTATCTCTGCCTCGAATGTGTAACACCCTCCCGTGTGTGTGTGTGTGTGTGTGTGTGTGTGTCTCATTTTGTAGCCTGGTCTGGCCAGGCAGTGGCAGGAATCTTCCTATCTCTGCCTCGAATGTGTAACACCCTCCCGTGTGTGTGTGTGTGTGTGTGTGTGTGTGTCTCATTTTGTAGCCTGGTCTGGCCAGGCAGTGGCAGGAATCTTCCTATCTCTGCCTCGAATGTGTAACACCCTCCCGTGTGTGTGTGTGTGTGTGTGTGTGTGTGTCTCATTTTGTAGCCTGGTCTGGCCAGGCAGTGGCAGGAATCTTCCTATCTCTGCCTCGAATGTGTAACACCCTCCCGTGTGTGTGTGTGTGTGTGTGTGTGTGTGTCTCATTTTGTAGCCTGGTCTGGCCAGGCAGTGGCAGGAATCTTCCTATCTCTGCCTCGAATGTGTAACACCCTCCCGTGTGTGTGTGTGTGTGTGTGTGTGTGTGTCTCATTTTGTAGCCTGGTCTGGCCAGGCAGTGGCAGGAATCTTCCTATCTCTGCCTCGAATGTGTAACACCCTCCCGTGTGTGTGTGTGTGTGTGTGTGTGTGTGTGTGTGTGTGTGTTCACCTACCACACATGAAGAGGCCAGAGGGAGATGTTGGGTGACCCACTCCTGTCACTCTCTGAATTATTCTCTTGAAATAGGGTCTCTCACTAAACAAGGCTGACCACCCAGCAAGTCCTGGAGAGCCTCTATCCCTCCACCCCTGCCCCACACGCTTCCTACAGCACTGGTGCACTGACATGTGTACAGCTCATCCAGCTTTTCATGTGACTGTTGGGGATTTGATTTGTTGTTGTTGTTGTTGTTTTCGAGATAGGGTTTCTCTGTGGCTTTGGAGGCTGTCCTGGAACTAGCTCTTGTAGACCAGGCTGGGCTCGAACTCACAGACCCTGCCTCTGCCTCCCGAGTGCTGGGATTAAAGGTGTGCGCCACCAATGCCCGGCGACTGTTGGGAATTTGAACACAGAGCTTCATATTAGTATAGCAAACATTCTTACCTACTGATCCATCTCCCCAGCCCTTGACTGGGAATTCTGAGCTCATCCAAAACGGAATTTCTAGAACCAAATTTGCTCCACAGCAAACAGCAGAGGAAATGATGGCTCTCAGGGATGGATGTCAGATGAGGATGGACAGTGACCCTGAGATGGAAGAAAACAAGGTATGCCCTATACAGCCCAGGGAGATGGCACCCAATGGGACCAAGGCAGCTGGGATTTCAAGGACAGGACAGCAGAGAAGAATGTAGATGGGAGGGGCCCCACATAGATTCAGCGTGGACCTGACAACACAAGATTGTGAGCAGTGAGGACCCTCATAGGGCTGGCAGAGTAAGAGATCTCCCACATCTCTGAGCGACAGGAAGCACCCCATCTCTTAATGTGATGAAGAGAGGTTGGCCCAGACTAACAAGAGTTCTGATCCACCTAACACCTTTAAAATAGGACACACCTTCTGAGTACTTCTGAGTACATGTGAAAGGTTGAGTGTGAGATCCCCCACTGGGCTCCCAGTTGTGCAAATCAGGGAGTAGAGCCTCATTTGGGGAGTAGGCCATTAGGGATAGGGGTGCTCTCTCTCTCTCTCTCTCTCTCTCTCTCTCTCTCTCTCTCTCCCTGCACGAGCACACACACACACACACACACACACACACACACACACACACACACACACACTATAAGGTAGAGTCCCATGAAAGAGGAAATCAACAAAGCCAAAAACAGTTCAGCTGAGATGATGAGCAAAACTGGCAAAGCTCTACCAACACATTCAGGAGGAAATCAGGAGACACAACCTACAAGACAGAAGTTGTCACTACACATATTAAAACACATATTAAAATCTACAGATATTAAAACGACTACATGAACAATTTATGCTGACAACTTAGAAAAAAATCTCTTGAAGTATTCAAACTACCAAAACTCTTCGAGAAGAAACAGAAAACCTGAAAAGCCTTCTATTATGCATTAAAATTAATCTAAGGTTAAAAAATTCCCACAGAGAAACCTCTGGATCCAAACAGAAAAATAACACCAAACTGACAAAAACTCACTCCCCCCAATGCAGAAATGACAGCATCTCCCAACACATTCTATAAGTGTACATTATCCTGATACCAAACTGGATGAATAGCCTTCATGAATAGAGATGAAGAACTTCTATTGTTTTAATTCATTTTTTGAGGCAGAGACTTATGTACACCAGACTGGCCTCAAACTTACTCTTCAGCCAAGGCTCTCCTTGAATTCCTAATCCTTCTCTACTTCTCAAGTGCTGGGTCACAAGTGTGCGACAACATACCTGACTATACTACATATAAAACTTGCTAACAAAGTCTGAGGAGGTTAAATTAAATAATTAATAAAAGCATACTGTACCATGAGAGTTGAGAGAGTTTGAGAGAGAAGCTCTAGGTTCAATGCTTCTAAGCAGTATGCCTGACCACTTATGTTTTGTTTTTGTATTTTGTGGCTGGACATGGGTATTGAACCTATGGCCTTATACACACTAAACCAGAGTTCCTTTCATGGAGCTATATCCCAGATATTCTACAGTTTTAAAAGTCTACTTTGTTAAGAGTATGGTCAACATTTGTCTTCTCTTTTTGCTATATGTGTGATGCCCAGCTGGCTCCATAATCCTTTTTCTACTGAATGGTACCTTCCATCACTCTGTTGCTTGGAATGTAAACAACCACAGCCCTCTGTCCTTGTTTTGTTTTTGAATATATGTAATGGTGCAATGTAGAAGTCATCTTGTCTGAGGATACTGAACTAGCAGGACCAGATGAGTCCAAGATTTCTTCCAAAGCTACATAATTGTAACTCTAAATATGGAAATGGTAAGAAGTCAGAGTGTATGTACTGGCACAGTATTCAAACTTTCAGCAGTTTGACACAGCTCACCATCACGTATGTGATGCCCTGATTATTGTCAGAAAGTGAATAAACAGATAAGGCATATCATTAAAGA